AACTCACAGTCTGTGAGTTCGAGCCCTGAGTCAGGCTCTGTGCTGACAACTCAGAGCATGGAGCCTGCTTCAGATTCTCTGTCTCCCTCTCTCTCTGCCTCTCCCTCACTCATGCTCTGTCTCTCTCTCTCTGCCAAAAATAAACAAACTTTTTTTTTAAATTTAAAAAAAAAGAAAGAAAATAAGAAGGTCAATGAGAGGAAACAAAAGGGCTGTAATGTAAACAGAAAGAAAAAAAACCAAACCAACCTTAAGTGCAGAACTTGAGAGAAACTGCTTTCACATATACCAGAAAGCAGCTTCTCTTCAAAAGACATTGCCAAATGCTGGATGACTGACTGATTAGTATCAGCCAGATCTGATTACACTTGGTAAATCCCCACTATGGCTAGCACAATGCAATGCACCTGGTAGAGTACGGATTCCACTCACCAAAGCAGAGATGAAACAAAATGCTATGTACACAGGGCTGTTTGTGTTGAGTGAATTGATTAGTTATGTGCTAGTCATAGGTACCTTTCTCTCACCTCCAGATAATGACTTAGTTCCAAAATAACCAAATTTACCTTTAGGATAAGCCTAAATGACCAATCACCTTTTCAATCAAATTCTAAATCCAGAGAAATCCAAGATCAGTTTAGTTCATAACTAAATTCAGTATTCTGAGGCAATATGATTCAAGAAAACCCCAACAGACTGGAAATCCATGAGGCAGAGGAAGGGAAGCTAGTTTTGTAAACTCAGTGAGTCAACTTAACTCCCAAGGATTCTTTGGTATTTAAAAAGCAAAGACAGGAGTGCCTGGGTGGCTCAGTCAGTTAAGCATCCAACTTCAGTTCAGGTCATGATCTGGCAGTTCATGAGTTCGAGCCTCACATTGGGCTCTGTGCTGACAGCTCAGAGCCTGGAGTCTGCTTCAGATTCTGTGTCTCCTTCTCTCTGCACCTCCCCCACTCATGCTCTGTCTCTCTCTCTCAAAAATAAATAAAAATGTTAAAACAAAACAAAACTTAAGGGGAACCTCAGTGGCTCAGTAAGTTAAGCATCTGACTTGAGCTCAGGTCATGATCTTGCAGTTCGTGAATCCAAGCCCTGCGTCGGGCTCTGTGCTGACAGCTCAGAGCCTAAACCTGCTTCAGATTCTGTGTCTCCCTCTCTCTCTCTGTCCCTCCTCCACTCACACTCTGTCTCTCAAAAATAAACATTAAACATTTTTTTTTAATTTAAAATGCAAAGACAGTTTTTCCAGAATAAAATTACTTTCTGACTTTATTTCAAGACATTTCAGTATTCTTTCAAAAATATTAGAAGAGGAAAGTGAAATAATCAGAATTAAGAATATCTGTTAAGGGGCACCTGGGTGGCGCAGTCGGTTAAGCATCCGAATTCAGCCAGGTCACGATCTCGCGGCCCGTGAGTTCGAGCCCCGCATCGGGCTCTGGGCTGATGGCTCGGAGCCTGGAGCCTGTTTCCGATTCTGTGTCTCCCTCTCTCTCTGCCCCTCCCCCGTTCATGCTCTGTCTCTCTCTGTCCCAAAAATAAATAAAAAACGTTGAAAAAAAAAATTAAAAAAAAAAAAAGAGTATCTGTTAAAACAAAAATGAGAATAAATTTGAAAGAGTTAAATGGTATTTCAGGTAATAGACATTTGATAATATTTAATCAAGTAACAGGTACTTGATAAATATTTGTTAAATGAAGGAATGGCCATCTGAGATCAGGGCAAGTAAAGGAGGAAGAGAGGAGAGGCAATCTAAACATCAAGTGCTGAATAATAAAGTAAATGGGGGAAAGTGGTAACAATTGGTGAATGGATATGAATGTTCTTTGTAC